CCCACCCAGATTGTTTATCAAGAAAAAATAGAAAATTATATTCAAATTTTAAGTCTGAGAGTTCCATTTCCAACAATGTAGAGGTGCCATAATCAACATAAATGTTTGTTTTGTATCTGAGACTCAATCATCATGGTGCTAAGGTGGTTTACACCACCATCTGTGGTCCCTTCCTGGGCATCCTCTTTTTTGGATTCCAGGATTCACCACTGAACTGCATAGTTACCAACCGTCATGATAACGAATTCAGGGGAAATGTATTTAAAATTAGAAGAAATTGGTTTTATTAAATATATAAAGAAGTTCATGCAGTAGCTTGAGTCAATAGAGAGCTTTCGTTTTCTCATTTGAGAATCAATTCAGCAGGGAAAATTTCTCTTTTCCCACCAAAACAACCCAGCCAGTAGAATCTAGTTGCGTGCGGTCTTGCGCGTTCATTGTCACAACCAGCCGTTGATGTGACTGGAACCAGCCCACACTGGGGTTCCGACCCTTGAAACCCGGGGCCTGATGCCCCCTCCCCCTCAACTGGTGTAGTCACGCATTTAAAATCTCTCGGGTTGGTAACTATGGAACTGTATCACTCTAATATATAAATTATTGTACAACATATGCTTAATAATTACAAGAAAATAGAATAGACATGGATTTGATTTGATTGATTGATTTTGATTGATAAATTGGTACTATTTACAAGATCTTCATTATACTCTATATGGCAGAGACCAGCCATGCCAGTCAATCCTTGCATAAGATCAATTTGAAGTTATTAATACAGGGTTAACCAATATAATGAAATTTATAAAATGATAAAATAATCATTTAACTCTGAAATTTCTTATGAAGTAAGGGGTCATCCATAATTTTCAACATTTTCAGAAGAGTACAAAACATACTCTTTTCTGTGACCCCTTCCTCCCCCGAAAGAATACATAATAAAATGTAAATAAAATGTTAATTTGTGTCATTTTGAGATCAAAATTTTATGTTTTTCATAAAAGAGTACTTATGCTTACACACAACTCCCATACAGCTGTTTGTTGTATTTGTATACTGTACATGTAATAATTTACATTTGTAGGTTCAACGTAGCAAGGATACTCCAACAATACCCTCAACTATTGGAGAAGAGAAAAAATACAATCCATTCATGCGAGTAGGGTAAGGATATGAATTTACAAATTATGGCAATTTTCCCCTTATTTGAATTTACCCCTACCCGGTATGTGAAATTGCCCCATGGGGATCAAATTCAATTTTGTACAGTTGTATAACTGTACTTGGCGTAAAATATATTTTTGAATACAGGTCTCCCTCCTATAAAGGGCCGCCTTTTGGTCTTTAGCAACTTTTATCACTAATTAGAATAATAATAATAATAATAATAATAATAATAATAATTAGAATAATAATAATAATAATAATAATTGTCAATTAATAAAGCGCATAATGTAAAATACCTCTATGCGCTTTACAGCATGGTGTGGTAAAAATTATTTAAAATTTCACCTAAAAAAAATAATGAGTAACAATAATGAATAATAACAATAAAAAATAAATAAATATATAATGTTAATAAATAAATAATTTGGAAATACAGATTTTATTTACTTTTTAAAAAATAATAATGATGAAGATAAAAGACATTTCTTAATTTGGGGTGGTCTTTTTTTGGAGGGTCCTTTAGAGAGAGAACTTTATTTAAAAATGGGGAAGTATGGGTGGTTACACCCTTTTTTCCAGTTTTTGGAAATCGCTGCCTTCCCCAGCATATCAATTGTTTTTCCTCCAGAGCCGGGCTTTAAAAAAATGTTCATTTCATTGTGGTTTGGCACAGCAGGAACGGGAACCTTGAGGTCGGGGTTTCAATCCCTCGCTTTGCATTTCATTTTTTATCCTTAAGCAAGGCACTTTATCTGCATTGCTTCCCTCCACCCAGGAGTATAAGTGGGTACCTCAGGAGGTTTGAGTGCAAAATGTGCTGAAATATTTCATGCAGCTAACTATGGAATTTCCCCCATAGACATCGCTCCAATGGCTGAGTAATAATGTGGAAAAACGCTCTGAGACTTAGTTGTATAGAGCGCTATATAAAAACCTGATTAATATTATTATTTTTATTATTTCAATTACAGAGTTAAGTCTGTGCAAGAACATGTTGGTCAGTCAGATGGAATTGCTACTATGGGAGCACTAAGAACAGAAAAGGATGGTTTCAAACCCAAATCGGCAATATAGACAAGCGTACATTTATATCAATCATGAAAATAATAACAATATTAGTAATGTATCATAATGAGTAACTAATAAAGTTTTAAATTAAGTGTAGATAAGGTGGATTAAATTTTGGTTCATATTAAGCAAGTGACAAAAATATCAAGAAAGTGAATCCTAGACATGGGCGTGATGGTATATTTCCATTCTATTCTAGGATCTGGGCCCAATTGTCCAAACCAGTTGGGCCTGATTGTGACTGTTTATCACTCAATTTACAAAGACGATTGAGCCCAAAAAGATGATCAAACTTTTTACTTACTTCAGCCATATCACTGACTTTTGCAACACCCTCTTTTTTCCTGATTGGTTGCCAAATTTGTATTTTTGGAACCCTCTATCTATAGCCCAGACCAGTCCTGTTTGTGGCGTGGCCTACCTACATAGAGGCCTAGGCTATGCTACCTTGGCTAAGTAAAGATAGCATGCTATGCTCAATGATTAACAGTTCTAGTGGAGAAAGAAATACACAAGCTTATTTTTTTGTTGGGGGGGGGGGGGTAGCATATTAAAAAATGTTAACATTTTATGCCAGAGAAAAATTGCACCCCAGGGAGGCTATGCCTTTGCTGCGTAGGGTAAAAAAAGAATGTATTGTACTCGTTGATGACGTCGCAAATTGCGAAATAACAACAAACAACAACCTTTCTGGTTTGAGCCTAGGCCGTCATGGAAACTCACTGGTTCCTGTGTAATTCATGTTGTGCCAACTGCAGACGAAAAGGTTACAATCTTTTCAGAGATAACCTGGAAGAAAGTTCTAGAGAGCCCAACAATGGAAGGATTTTAATACTGAAGAATGGAAGTTAGCGATGTCCTCGGCTTACACAAAATACTTCAATAACCATGATACAGTTAAGTTGTATATTATATGGCCTTAACAGTGAAGAGGTAGATGCAAGCAACAGATGCAACATATTAAATCGATTATTATTATTTTTATTAATTATATATAAACTCATTATTATTACTTTTTATTGTTAAATTATTGTTATTAAAATATTATTATTGCTATTATTATTGTGCATGTTGTTAGGTATAGGCTGACGTTACTACAATAACTCATTTTACTAGAACAATTATTATACAGTATTTGTTTATTTACATTTTTGTAATCTTTGAATGATACAGACAGATAATTATTAAATAAAAAGTTAATTGACACATTTGAATTTCATGTTGATTTTAAATTTTTCCTGTAGCCTATGACAGTGTGATGATTGTTCATTGCAGTAAACAAAATCTTCTGATTCCCTTCAGAGACTGGGTATTTGTTTAAAAAAAAAGTCACAGGTCTTAAAGCCAGCATTTCTTTCATGTATGTAATTGCATATACATGATAAGCCTACATAGAATACTGTACTGTATACGTAATAACAAATACATGACCATTGTGAAATGTACCACCTCTTTCCATCATTATTACTTAGTCAAGATTTTTATCATATTAATAAAGATTAACAATCTTGCTTAACAATAATAGCAACATTGTAACATTACAGTATAATTATAAAAATAATACTAACACTAATGAAAATAAATTAATGATTATAATATTTATAATAATAATACGGTAATAGCAATGATAACAATATACAAATATTACAGCAATAATAATAATAAAAATAAGCACTTTTTAGAAAAACACGACGAAATTGATGAATATCGTCAGGCATGAATATTTTCCAGTTAATAATAAAAATCTGAATGTAGTTGTTTTTATTGGCAAATTTATTTATTGTAATTTCTTTTCAGTCCATTTCGATCGTTTTCTCTTTTTTTTTTTTTTTTATCCTATTCTGTAATGACTACATGATTAAAGCTCATCCTGCCATATCTCAGAGCCACGATGGGAAAAGCGAGACTATCTGCTTTGGCACTACTTAGTATTGAGCGTGATGAAGCAGACAACATTGCTAACTTTGATCATGTTATTAACTTATTTGCTGATGCAAAAGCACACAAAATTCAGTAGCGAGTTTAAACAATGTTAAAAATTTAGCAACTTGCAAGACTCTACTATAAGATAAATTTAGAGAATAAGAATACTATGTCTGTATGGATAAATACAACAGCCTTACAAATTAGGATAGGCCTGATGGTAAAGTTGTATACAATTAAATTAAATAAGCTTTTGAAATCCATAAATTGTCAAAAAATGTCTGGGGCTTCGGCCCTCCTAGACCACTTTCGGACAATTTTAAGCGACGCTCAATCACACCCACTTTGCTCTCGTCAAGGAAATCTTTCCCCTCGTCGGAGCATTGCCCCCACCCACTCCGACCTAGGACCCCCTCGGGCAAATCCTGTCGCCACCCCAGGTAAGAAAGAACATACGAGAGGTAGAATAATAATAGTTATTCGAGTTTAAATAATGTTATTTAGACAGTGCATGATATGGACGTGCGGTACGAATATGCACACAAATCATACGACGTCACTGACAACGCCGGGGACGGCAACTCGATTTTGAGATTAATTTTCCGAATAAATTTATACTAAATAACTTTTAATGACGAACTATTGTCTTCAGTTGTCTTTTTTGGTCATCCAACTGTCATTTTATCTATTTTTTTCGGTGATATTACCATTCTCAATAATTTATAAAACACCCACATAACGTCATGTTAGATCGATCATTGGGGACGCTGTGGTGACGGCGGTAGGGTCAATTTTCGTCGGAAGGTATCAAGATGATAAACAGTTTCATTGGACTAAATTCTTGCTTATGTTAACCATGCTTTCCTAAGATTATACTGACACT